GGGTATTCGAACGCAAGGGTGTGGCCGGGAGAGGGCAGCTGAACTGAAAAAGAGGTCAAGGTGTGTGGAAATAAAGTCAAGAAACCAATAGTTTTGAAGGTTTGAACAGGGTTTTTTTTTTTTTAAGATTTTATTTATTTATTTGACAGGCAGAGATCACAAGTAGGCAGAGAGGCTGGTAGAGAGAGAGGAGGGGAAGCAGGCTCCCTGAACAGGGTTCTCTTGAGGGGAGGGTATGATTTGAGAAGACAGTGAGTTGAGGTCTAGGGATTTTTTTTTTTTTTTTTTTTTTTTTTTTTGAAAGAGAGGTGGAGCAGAAGCAGCCTCCCCATGGAGCAGGGAGCCTGACGCAGGGCTCAATCCCAGGACCCTGGGCGCGGAAGGCAGAGGCTTAACCGTCTGAGCCACCGAGGCTCCCCAAGGTCTAGAGATTTTAATGAGTTAGAAACAACAGGTAATGAAAAAGTCATGGAAGTCCTGTAAAATGGACATTTGTTTCTGCTTGTCCCCCATTCGTTCATTCCTTCTATTAGCAGCGTCCTGATTCTGCTTTGGAAACCACCTCCATCCTCCCCCAGCTCACACAGGGCTCCTAAGATACTAACAATATTCTCTTAAACTGGGGGATAGGAGGAACAGGAGTATTTTTTGTTCTTTAAACTGTATAGATACATTTTATCCTTTAAACATTTTATGTACTTTATATGTACATTTCACCATTCAAATGCACAGACCTACAAAACACTTCCTTTCTCCGTGCTCCAAAGATAAGGATCTGCTTCAGGTCTGGGCAATCAATTAACAAAGCTTGGTTCCAGTGCCTGACCCAATTGAGGCTCCCGAGACACCAGCCCAGGGCTTAGGCTGGGGCTATCAGGAAAGAGGTACGCTCTTTCTGCTGAAATTGTGAGGCTTATTTGTAGAACATATCCCTTTGCTAGCCTGAGAATAAAACTAACACAGAAGAAAGCAGAGCCAAGAGACGGAGAGTGACAGATTTCCGATATCATTTAAATACCTAGCTCCAGCCACTCCTGAAGCCAAACTATCTGGGGCTTTTCAAAGATTTTTTTTTTCCTTTGCCAGTCTGCATTTGGTTTATGGTCTTTTAACTAAAAGGAAATGAATTTCAGTGCAATAGCCAAATAAAGGGCTCTCAATTCAACAGCCTGCATGACCTTCTTCAATACGTAAGTCAGATCAAGTCCTCCTTCCACTCAAGACCCTAAATGGGGCCTCAAAGCAAAGGCCAACATTCTCAGGGTGGCCTATGAGACCCTCCATGGTCTGACCCTCCCCTCTCTGCTGTACGTCAACAACTCTCCATTGTCCATTCTGCCCCAGCCACGGTGGCCTCTGGGCTCTTCCACAACACACCAGGCAGATGCCTGTGAGCCTCCAGCTGGACACTCCTCCAGACATCCACTTGCTAACTCCCTCCCTCACCTCCTCCACGTCTCTAAAATCTCCAGTTCTCAGGAAGGCCTATCCAAATCTTCCTCCCACAGCCAGTGATCATGAACCCCCTCCCCAACCTACTTCTTCTCCCTCCCATAGCATGTATTACATAACATAGGACATACTCACTGAGAAGTACCCAGTGAGGGCAGGGGTCTTCAACTGGCTGACTCTGCTCAAGTTCCTGGAACAGTGCCTGTCTCCTGGTAGGCCCTCAAATAAGTGACTAACCAATAAAATGACATGGGCCTCCGGGGAGAAGAGCTTGGTTTGCAAAGGGCAGTGGGGAGAAGGGGACATCGACCCCCATCTCCTGATACTGATATAAGCGGAGTAGGGGACGGAAAGACACCTCCACTCTGAAGATTTTGGAAGAAGCCATCACTGAAAAGGGCAGAAAGTAGGCGGAAGAGTTGAGTGGAGAGGTTGAGGATGTGGGAAGGGGTGTTAACCACAGCTGGGCCTAGAGTGGGCTCAGTATATGAGTGTTGGGAGGGACACAGAAACTTGGAGGCTGAGCCAGGGGAGAAGTAGCCCAGAGTGGTTTGCAGATGAAAGACAGACAAGAGTCAGGCCATTTTAGGTGGAGATGAAGTTTGTAGTGATAGAAGGCCTGGTGAGGCATGGAAAGAATTAGTCCTAGCAACCCTTGGAAGATAGGAAGGATTCTCCCATGACTCCAAGGTTTGAATGATTTTAGAAGTTAGTGGATGAAAAGCCATCATATTTGGTTGTTGTTTCCATCTCCCGCAAGCATCACAGACACCACCCAGAAGTGTCTGCGGGGCCAAACCACGAGGCTTCCATTCTTGGCAACATCCTGGGTCCAGAGAAAGCAATTCTCCTCCGTATAATACAACAACCCTGTGCCATGAGCAGCCTGTCAAACCCTCATTCTCCAAGCCCAGAACAGACTCTGAACCAGGCATCCAGGGTCACAACTCCATTGTCCAAAAAGACGAGAAAACAGGTTTCTTTTCAAAGACAGATCACAGCACTCAGCTTTCCTCCCTGTCCTCCAATGACCCCCATGCTGCCGGGGCAAGAGAAAGAGGCCAAAGTGAAGGCTTCCTTCTCCTGACTCACCTCAGTTGAATGCTAGCTTCTCTCTACAGAAATTTCCCCACAGTCACTAGAACACACGTGCATGCCAAGATTCAAGGAAAATGTTACTTCCAGTCAGGGAAAGAAATTACATTACTTAACCTCTAAGGAAAAGTGGCTTACTATAAATCAGGCCCTTGGGAGTGATGTCATTTTGATGCTTCTTACAGCTGTAAGGAGACTTAATAAATATTCAATAATTAATAATAACAGCTTCAAGATAGTATTTCTCACAGAACTGTCCCTGTAAAGAAAGCCAGCAGTAATTAGACCTGGGCCTGACTTCCCGCCCACCAACAAGCTCTTAGTGGTACAAGGCATTTGTCCTGCCAGTATTTATTAGGAAAATGCCCATATTTCTGAGACAGGTATCTGCCAAGAGTGGATCATTAAGCCAATGTTTAAATCATTGGGGACACCTGGCTGGCTCAGTCAGAAGAGCATATGACTCCTGATCTCAGCATCATGACTTGAGCCCCACACTGGGTATAGCAATTACTAAAAATAAGGGTAACAGTAGCAATAATAATATTAATAGTAAATACAAATTTTTAAAAAATAAATAAAATAGCCATCAGCGGCAACCAGCATTCAAGATGGCTCCCATATTTATACCACCTGGTATTCATACCCTCTTCCCACTTTGTACTAGCATTGGTCTGTGTGACAAACAGAATATGGCAGAATTATGTCGCTTCCAAAATTAGCTTATACAAGAGTATAGCTTGAGTCCTGGGATCTCTTGCTCTCTTGGACCACTTGTTCTGGGGGAAAGCTAGTCGCCATGTCAAGCAGCCCAAAAAAGAGGAGCTAAAGCCTGCCAACAGCCGAGTAAGTGAGCTTGGAAGCAAATCCTCCCCAAAACCAGCCTTCAGATGACCCAAGCTCTGGTCAACACCTTGACTGCCACCTCAGTAGAGACCTGAGGACAGAACCACCCAGCCTAGCTGCTCCTAGATGACACTACTGACCCCCACACAGTATTTTCAGTACTAAGTTTTGGAGTAATTTGTTACACAGCCATAGATAATAAATTCACTATCCTGGGAAGGAAATCAGAAGGTTCAACTTCGGTCCCTGTCCTACATGCCTGTAGGAATAATTTCTCGGTCTAGGAGAAAGCAACAGATTATTTATCCAGTCACTCAACAATTGCTTATTGAATGCCAAATACACACAAGGTATTTCCAAGCAACACAACCCTTCATATAGTGTATCATCTATAAAATAAAGAGAAATAATCACAAATGCCAACACACCGACCTCAAACTGCTCAATCCATTGGTTTCATTCGCTTTTTAAGTCCTTTTGCTCCTAACCCTCTACTCTCCACTCCTGGCTTTCATAAACTCTTTAAGATACACCAAGTTCCCCTTCATATCTATCTTGAGTCCTCCGTGCCCTAATACACTCATTTTTACTGTACCACATGCCCTCCAATCTATGGGGTAAAGAATTAGGTCGTCCGATCCCATTTAACATTGGGATTAGGAGGAATTCATTTAGTATTTTACCAGGAAGAGGGAATCCTGATCACAAATGTTAAGACCAATTCTAATTTCTGCAATTAGTGAGAAGGTGGCTGCAGCAGGGCTGACAGAATCACAGCTCAAGCTCTGGTCACAGCCGAAATGGGGGGGGGGTGGATGCCGCCCCTTAACCCTTCGCGGGACTCTGTGGTCTCTCAAAGCAACACCAGAATTATGCTGCTCTAAGAAAATCAGGAGCCTCCTCCGGCACAAAGAAGGTCAAAGGGCGAGCTTTCTTCCCATCAACCACAAAACGGGCCTCTGCCAAAGCTAACCAGTGTGGAGGGCCGTCAGAGGTGAACCGAGCCCCAGACGGAAAACCACAGGGAGACTCTCCCCTCGCCCGCTGGGGTCTGAGTCAGGTGACTCCGCAGGGCACATAGCAAACCTAAACAAAGATCACTCCCCACATGACAGAGCGTGGGGAAAATGACTCTGGCAGTAACACCAAGGCTGCCAGTCCTACCACGGAAAACCATTAACTCTTGCTCCTTTGCAGTCCCAGGAAAGTGGGGAGCTACAAGTTACCCAGCAGCTCAGCCTTCGGGGATGCTCCTGGAGGAACCTGGGACCCCCCCCCCCCCCCCCCAGGACGCAGGCGCCGGGCACCGCACACCCGCCAGCGGCCCCAACATGCGGGCAGGACCCCTCCCCACCAGCTGTCACTGGCGCCCGCGCTCCGTCACAGCCGGGCATGCCCGCCCCCTCCGGCCGCTCTCCGCGCCGCTACGACCCCGCGGGGGCGGCAGGGAGGGACGCTTTTTCCAAAGGCTCTGGGGCCCAGGGCATGCCCGCCCCCGGGCAGGGGCGCCAGGGTGGGCGCGGCCCGGCGCCCAGAGGGAGCTACGGGTCCACCATCCCCCGCGAGAGCGAAATGCGCCTCCCGGTCCCCAGCCCCGTGCGCCCCACCTTGTCGCCGAAGCTGCGGGCCATCAGCAGGTCCGGGCTGGGCGTGCTGTCGCCGCCCACGGCCTCCTCGCTGCTGGAGCCGGCCAGCGGGTGCGGCATGTCGAGCAGGGAGTGGGGCCCGGTGGACGGCAGGCCCTTGGGGGGCCCGCCCGACATGGCGCGCACGGCTAGGGACGCGCCGCCGCCGCTTCCTCCTGTGCCCGCCGCGGCGGGCTCCCCCAGCGCCCGCGCCCAGGCCCCGCTCGGCCGCGGTCGGTCGGAGGCCCTGCACCGGCCGGGCGGGGAGCCGCCGCCGCTGCCGCCACCCGCCGGCTTGTCTCTGGCCGCGCGCGGCCAGGCCGGGCTGTGATGGCTGTGCGGGGCTGTGCGGGGCTGTGCGGGGCTGGGCTGCTCTGCACCGCTTAACCCCTCTCGGCGCCCGAGCCCGCCGCGGTTCGCTCGCACTTCGGCTGGGGTTGCCCAGCCAGCTCCGCCACGCCGCCCAGCCCGTTGGCGGCCCCGCCCCCGCGGCGCCTCGGCCGGCCCCCGAGGCGGGAGGAGGCGGGAGGGGAGGGGGACGGGGAGGTGCGCCCGAAGCCCCGCCCCGCCCGCCGCCCCGCAGGAAGTGCGCGCGGAGCCCTCCGCCGCTGTCCTCCGCGTGGCCGGCCTTGCCTGCGAGAGGCCACCCTGGGGGGCGCGGCGTGTCGTCCCCAGACAAATGTTTAACGGAAATCAGCGGTGGGAAAAGACGTTGGAGCATCCTGTTCCATTCCACCTGCGTTTACCGAGGCGTCCGCGGCCGCCACGCGCGGGGCTGGGGGCTTTGGGGCCCGCTCGTGAGTCGGGATCTTCTGGCCTCGAAGATAACCCAGAATGGAAGGAATTACGCCGCGTATTATAAGAATGGCATAAAAGGCTCTGGGGCGCAGAGGAGCTGGAGGACATGGGGTGGGGAACCTAGAAGGGAATTCAAGGAGGCAGTGGGAGGTTTCTTCCCAGGCGCGCCGAGATTCCCAGGCCATCTTGTTTCTGCAGTGGAGCCCGCTGTGTGTAAGGCTAACCTCAGTGAGCCTCAGAAAAGACAGGGAGCGCTAGGCATGATGTAGCCTGCTGCCCTTTGGGAGAACTGTATTTTTCCTGCGTTTGTGCTTCCTTTCCAGGCCTTTGGCTGAGCTGAATTCTCATATTTATTTGTTAGAGTGGAGAGAGTCAAGGCGTTACGTGAGCTCTTGGGGGTGGCATTTCACCTCCTTTTCTCACCTTACCTGGTTCTCCAGCTTCTTTTCTTAGGAACAGGTCAGTAGAGGGCATCAGTCCGCACAAGCAAGGATGGCTTCTAGCAAAATAGAGGGCAGGGTGGCTCACTGTGAGGGTGTACTTTTCCTGTCGATTTCCAACCTCTTTAGGTCTGTCCAGTTTCACCTGACAAATTTTGAAGTTGGAATTCACTGTGTTCTCCGCCTCACCTTTATGGCCAAACAAGTTATACTTCAGCAAGAGGAGAATGCAGAGCGTTGAACCTGATCCAAAATATCGCTCAGACACCCCCTGAGCTTCAAAGACAGTCCCTTATTTCCCCTGGTGTAATTCGCTGGGCTTTAGTCCTCAAGTGATCATCTTCTCTCTCTCTCCCCTACATGGGTCTGCCTTGGTAGGGGAGAACAGGATTCAGAGGGCACTAGCAACTATTTTAAATGCTGCCTCTGTCTACCTCACAAGAAGTCTGGTCCTCCTAGAGGTGGGTAAAATTAATACTTTTATATTCATGGGTTGCTTACGACTACTGCGGACCCTATGAACTGTTCTCATTAGCATCAAAATAAATAGCACGGCTATAAGGAGAATCAGTGTTCTATAGATGGATAACACAGGTGTCCCTTACTGGATAGTGTTATTTTAACAAGCCGGCCACTTTAACCTAACTGCTTACTTTATGAAGACTCCGCTCAGCTTTCTCCTCAGGTCACCAGGGAAGAGTGAAAAGAGAGCCACATTTGGACTCCTGCTAGTCACTACAAGTGTGTGACCATGAGCAAGTTACGTAACTAACCTTCACGAACCCGTTTCCTAACCTAGAAAGGAGGAGGGAACAGGTAATAACAGCTGCATTGGTGGTGGCTGTGGAACAGCATATTCGGTAAGTAACGAGCAAAATGCTCGTGTAGAAGAGACATTCCCTAAATGTTCATTCCCTTCCTCTCTGTCAGGTTTTCTCTGCTGTTGTTACAAAATGATAATCCTAGAGTTTTCATAACTGAACGTGCTGCACTCCAAACTCCTCTATTTGTTTGGGTCGGACTGCCATTTTTCTGTGCTCCTATCAAAAACAAACAGCCCCCAGAAAACCAGAGTTCCTAAAAGGCCATATGAAAGAGTTTATTCATTTATTTTTCCCGTTTCCTGGTTGGTCAGTGGCATCTGGCCACAACGATCCGGTGGGCAGTCATCAAAACTAAAGAAAGTGAACTTCTATGGAAAACATTTTGGTATGAAGTTTCCACCATTCAAATATAGCCCAGGACTGCCTACTCATACTCACCACTTCCTGTTGTATTTCAGTGTTCCTTGTGGTGGGAAATTGTCCCTGAAATAACGTTAAGTGTCCTAGAGTATGTAACTATGGCTCTACTGAAAGTTTTCAGAGCAACATGGTGGGAAGGAAGAAACGTGAAGTTTGTATATCTGAACAGAAGGTTGTAGTGTTTGTCGGAATTTCTGGAGGGAAGCTCGGATCTCTAGGGCTGAGCTGTGAGGAAGAATGAACTGGATGAGACGTGCCTGGGGATACCAGGGAGATGCCACCAGGACCTAAGAACGCAGGATGGGGTGGGCCTTCCACCACCCACAGGGAATCTTAGGCGCTTAGGCAGGCACCTTTCAGGAAACAGGGCCTCGAACCCCAGAATTCGGTAAGTTTGCCAAGCTGGAATCCTGTAAACCTCACTAGCAAGTCTGTCAGGGCTTTCCGTGAGCACCCAGACTGCGGACCTCAGAAACAAAGCAGAGTCCCAACAAAGCGTTCCCTCTTTCTCTCCCCTGGTACAGCATGTGCTTAGGCCTTATTCATGTTTGTGTTAGCTGCTTATCCTCTCCTGGTTTTTAATACAATCGTTGCTTTATTTTATATGGCATCCCAAAGCCTGCCTCAGAATAACACCACCACTTCTGAAGTGGACGGCTGAGGAGGACAAAGGAGGTTTTCAAAGAGTTTTCAGAGTGACATGTAGAAAGCCACAGAAGGCTGTCTCAAACAAGAGGGGCCACTGAGAAGACACCATCGCCAACACAGGCAAAATTGTGTGGACAGTTTAATAGCCAGTGATGTCCCAGGAAAAAGCGAGGGCCAGCAGGTCCACTTGAGGCCAGGATCTGAAGAGTTTTGCAAACAAGAAATTGGACCTTGCCCCAGAATAGGAGAGAGGCTTGTGGGTAGGGATAGGATCACTTTATACTTCCACATCAAAACTCCTGGCCTCAAAAGCATACAGACCCTCTGGCAGTGGATAATGCGACACAGACTGTGGAGTCGGTGCCCCAGATCCACCTGTGAATTTGTCAAAAGGCAAATTTTTGGACCCCACCCAAGAGATTCCAATTCCAGGCTGGGCCTGGAATCGACATTTTTCCACAAACCCTGAGGTAACACGGATACTGGTCTATACGCTGTACTCCCAGAGACACTCTCTGAGCTCCACCCCTCGCTCTAAACCGTAAGAGGACATTCCAAACCACCTTTGACAAACAGCATTCTTAAAGTGTTTGCTTTGGAGAAATTTCCTGTTTGCTGAAAAGTTTCTTAAAAGACAAATTTCTCTTAACAAAATGCTATCACAGGGAATTTCTGCCCTAACTGTCTATGGTTCCTTTTCTGGAGCATCTACCAGGCACTTAAAACCTGGGGAGAAGAGTGTAGATGAACAAAACCATCTATTGACAGATTCATTTCATAGCTCTGTGACATGCCTCCCCATGGAGTGGGTATTTTTCAGAGCCCCCCCACTCCAATGTTCTCTGAATGGCCCTGCAAACTCCGAGGAACTGGACTTCATCCAGCCCTAGCAATGTCATCCACCACCCTCACAAGTGGTACCTGCTACCCGGCCTTCTTCACAAGCAGGCTCTGGGGGGCGGGGGTGTGCGTAAGCTTCTATGGAGGCTACCGGTAGACAGTGTGACCTGGAGAAGAAACCGAGCTGACCAGTCCTGGCATTGAGTCTCATTAGCCGTGAAAGGAAGGAAAACCTATTTTCTGACTGTGTACTCCAGGATAGTTTTTGGTTTCATCACCGGGCGTGCCCCTTAAAAGGCCATCTAGAAGGTAAACACCCAGACATCCTATGACCCAGGAGTTCCACTCCCAGAACACAACAGAAATGCGTGTATTCATCAAAAGATGAGATTTGAGACTTTCCACAGCGGCGCTCTTTGGAAGAGCCCACACTAAAAACTGTCAGCAGTGGTATAGTCACTCAAGGGAATGTTAGAGGGCAAGGACAGCGGAGGAACAGAATGGTGAGTGAATCTCACGAACACAGGTTTTAAAAAAATACCTATGACGGGGTGCCTGGGTGGCTCAGTTGGTTAAGCGGCTGCCTTCGGCTCGGGTCCTGGGATCGAGCCCTGCACTGGGCTCCCTGCTCAGCGGAGAGCCTGCTTCTCTCTCTCCCTCTGCCTGCCGCTCTGCTTACTTGTGCTCTCTCTCTAGCTGTCTGTCAAATAAACAAATAAAATATTTTTTTAAAAATCCCTATGCCTTAGGGAGATGGAGAGGAGATGGGAGTTGAGGGAAATTGGAAGGGGAGGTGAACCATGAGAGACTATGGCCTCTGAAAAACAACCTGAGGGTTTTGAAGGGGCGGGGGGTGGGAGGTTGGGGGAGCCAGGTGGTGGGTATTAAGGAGGGCACGGATTGCATGGAGCACTGGGTGTGGTGCAAAAACAATGAATTCTGTTATGCTGAAAAGAAATTTTAAAAAATCCCCTATGCCTAAGGTGGGGAAGAGGGGGTGGCAGGGAGGAGCTTGGGGAGGGACTAAACTCATGACCCCGAGATCTAGAGCTAATGTTTTACTGACGGAGCCATCCAGGTGCCCCTCACGAACACAATGCTGAATGAAAGAAGCATATCTGTCCAATAAATAAATACAATCTTTAAAAAAAAAAAAAAAGCCAGATAC